AAAGTCTGTAGCAGACACCTCAAACACTGAGAAGAAATCTGACAAAATCGTAAAATTCTGTACACTCATTTTAGACGAGTCTAACAGAAACAATACAGTCACAAATACAAACTTAAACTCAATCGACAATTCAATTGATTAACACATTAATTTGATAAACATTTTTCGTTCTGCTCTACTAAACAAAAATGCATATAATTATAGAGGTAAAATCTATTTTTGTGACAAATATGTATTATATTACTTAAAAAACATCTTATGATGTATTGCTGAATTTACAGTATGTTAGGTTACATTTAAGCTATGTTATGTAAAAGTTCCAATCAAAACAAGCCTAACAAACATAAATCTGATGTGAAATTAAAACGTAGCTATAATAGTAAAACAAACAATTAATCATATACATCATTTTATGCCGTTTTTACGTGTCATGAATCTACCGTTCAAGCTAAACCATTTTCTATTGTTAATTCAACACATTACCGCATGATAACGAAAAACACAACACATATATTTTGAATTGATTAGAATTTAATGCCTATTAAAATCAACTCTAAACTGTTTTCTTCAACATTGCATTTTAAAGCGTCAACTTTAAACAGCTCTTCGTTATTTTAAAAGCAATAATAGCCTATTAATAAACCCCACTGATAGAGATGCTGATTGGAGACGCGTGGGAGCCTCCAGCAACAGATGTCCAGGCACAATTCTCGACTGATCGCTTGACATTTCACAAGAATTGCGTTTGGACAATCAACTGCTTGAGCTCATATTTCCATAAACAGCACAACTGTGTGAATATTTTACTGTATAGGATCCATGCGTGTGGGTCCTCGTGCGTTTCTGCTCTTCGGTGGGAAAAGGCCTTGATGCACATTGTTTTTTTTCTTCACATAATTCAGGCGTGCAGTCTTTCAAAATATCGGCTGTATTTCATAAATTCCTCGGCGGTGAAATTAGATCATAATATTTTTCGGTCCACTTTTTTTTCGTTATCTAGAGAAATGTCAGAATAGCAAATTGACGCTCAATATCCCACTGTCCGTCTAAGCCTGGAATGTTGCTTTAAGACTATGTTCTTTTACCAAAAACAATAGCATATTTCCACAGCTCTGTTTTTTTCGGTTACTAAAATAATAACGGCAAATTCAAATCAGGTCTTACCGGGAAAATAAGGCTGAGATCAACCAAATAAATCATAAAATATCATCAATTAATTCGTTCCGGTGTAATAAATAAATTACCATTTTTTAATTCACAAAATTTCCAAAATGTGCTGCTCTGTCGAGGTGGTCGCGAATCATTAGGAGGTGTGCTGCACCATCACGAGCCACTTTCTTCAGAAGACACCGAGGCAGCGATTCGCCATGTCTGCACCTGCGAGACGTTTCTGATCAAGTATAGAAGAGCTAAAAACGAGCAAAAAGAGAGAAACATCCTGATGTGCGTCAAATTCCTCCAGGGGTCTCGTTCCGCGGTGCTACGTACGAATCTCCAACTTCAATGCGCAGAATAAATAAAGTTCTTCGGCGTGTTCAAGACACGATACGCGTGACCCTCACAATGCATGTTAGTGAGGGTCGAAATTCCTTTATACATAGCCTTTCATCACTCCCATCCAGAGGACTGGTGTAAATGAGGAGCAAAACACACTGGCAGCGTTTCTGGCTCAAGGATGCGCGAGGCTCGCGTGACAACTGCGCAGCTTTCTAAATAAACGGCGAGGCGAGAGTGGGGTCGGTGGCCGCTTGGTACGAGATTTGAATAACGCACCAGTGAGTGATAAATGGCCATTGTGGTGAGAAGGGGATGAGTATCCACTGTGTCAATCGGCGTACTGACCAGCAGCTGCGCTGGGACCAGCAACCTCTTAAAGAAACAACACTCTATTTTTTTTTTTTTTGCAAATTGCAATTACAATCCAACAGTGTCTACAGTGCCATTACGCATTGTGTCCTCGATGACGTTTCCCTTCTCTCAAAAGCCACTCGTGTAAGGGATCACCTGGCACTTTACCACAAAGGAATCGTTCAATAACACTTCATAAAGTGGTTTTACAGGCTGAAAACACTAAAGTATAGTCAAATATCAATTGCGTTAAAAAACAACAACTTCTAAGTGTTTTCATTCATGTGACTTTATTTTGTAATTTAAAACTTATTTTTGACCGTTATTTGTCACACTTTTTATAGAGACTATTTTTCAAGGTAGGTGTAATTTTGAAAGTTCATTTCTGTATAGCCACATACCTTAAAATCTTGACTACAAAAAAAATATATTGAACATTTACATTGGTATTGCGCAGGGGGGAAAAAATACAGGCTTATCATTTTAGGCTTTTATTTAAACAGTCAAACAATTAGGAGACAAAACTAATTTTTAACAATATAATATTAAAGGTAACAAAAATATCAAACCACTTTTTGGCCAACAAATACCGTGATTAATAAATCATATAATTTTATAGCAATATTTGTAAAAAAAAAAAAACGATCAAAAATAGGTTTGAAAGACAATTCACAAAAATGATCGCATTTAAGAGGGTTCTGAACTGTGAGTTTGAAACATTAAAAATAAAAACTACTAAAGAAAATACTCAATGTAAAATGACTTTTAGTTACTGAGATCTAGTTTAGGCATTGTGTATTCCTTTAAATAGTTTTGTAAAACAGGGAAGACCCCCTAGGAGGCTTAGAACATTACACTGAATAAATTTGCACTTTTGTGTGAGCTGTGTGTCCAGCCGTGCCAGTAACCTCTGACCTTAAGTATTGTTGGAGCTGAGAGTGGACCAAGAAATCCTGACCATTCAGAGCAGCTGGGAATGGTCCATTGTGAAGGATAGCTCAGGGAAAGCGTATTTGTCAGCGTAGCTGGAATGTTGAAAATCTGCCACAAGTGATATTGTCTTTGAAGTATTTTTTTAGTATTGATGGAAATGGCGCAGCTTTGATTTGGATGCTCCACATCTGTCAGAAATCTCCAAACAGCACTGGTTCAGATTACAGATTATTATTATTATAATATTATTTGATCATTTTATCTTTTTAATCAGCTATAGTGTTGATTACATGAATGGGTTCATAATTGTGCTGAGCCCAATGAAAAATGGGGGAATTTTTTTGGGGGTGGAGTCGTGGCCTAATGGTTAGAGAGTCGGACAACTGAGGTGCCCTTGAGCAAGGCACCGAACCCCCAACTGCTCCCCGGGCGCCGCAGGAAAAATGGCTGCCCACTGCTCCGGGTGTGTGTTCACGGTGTGTGTGTGTTCACTGCTGTGTGTGTGCACTTTGGATGGGATAAATGCAGAGCACTAATTCCAAGTATGGGTCACCATACTTGGCCACATGTCACGTCACTTAACACTTAACTTAAATAATGATATTTTTACGTATAATAAAACGTTTTGCCTAGACAGCCTAATAACATGCTGGCAGAAATATATGAAAACAGAATATGAATATGAAAATATGGAACAGACTCCTTATGTGTGTGCTGCATTTGAGTTGCATTGATCATGTGTTTTGTCGATTGAGTGTTCATCCAGCATTTGTTAATTTAGTAACGAAACAAGTAATTCTTTCAGAACTACAAAACTTGTGTTAATGTTGTTGGGATGCAATAAAATGTCTAGTGAATACAGTCTTTATTACATTTATATTAACGTATGAAATTATGTATTTATAATAATGGTATCACGGTAATCGGGTCCAAAACGATTTTATTTAGAATTTCATGCAGCATTTTTCATAGCAAATTATATGCATAATAATTTGAGTGAAAAGTTTAATTGAAAAATTAAATTTCACATTTTTGCCTGTTTTGCTTTGATGACAGCAGAACTCGAGCTACATAATTCGTTTTGTCATGGTTCTTTAAAACGTTTTTTTTTTTTTTTTTTGCAAGCTTAAAATACATTTACATTTCTGTATTTGGCAGACACTTTGGTCCATAGTGACTTATAAAAGAAGGAACAAAAAATAGATTAAACTACACATTTTTAGTGCATTCTCATATTAAATATTTAAGCATACATTTCTGAATAAACATAGTTCTCTGAATATCAGAAATGTTTGGAAGCCGCTGGCTGAACATAATGGGGAAAATACCACAATATAATGAAATTAATGAATTTAAAAACACCCAGTCATGTGAAATGACACTATGAGGATCATAATGAGGTCAGTGTTGTCCAGGTTTTAAACCAGGGGTTTCCAACCTGTTTTGTCATATTGACACCTATTTACATGAAACACACTGATATTTGAGGTAATAGAACCTTTCAAAATTTATTGAATTCTTCTGTTCACTTGCCAAATATTTCTGTTGTTTATTTTCTTATGGTTATTATATTTGAATGATTAATTCATACATTTTTACTTAATAAAGCATTTGCATTTCTATTACAATTGAATGAAACTTCTGCAGTTCCTCCAGGAACCTCTAGGGGTTTGCACCCAAATTTAGGAAAACCTGTTATAGATACTACAATACAGCATGTAACGCAGGCTGCTGCCTCCCAATATACTGAACTTTAAAATATAGCAGAGACCTAACAAAGCTCAATTCATTTAGTACAGTATTATCAAACATTATTATGCATCGATGTCAGTTTTGGTTTTGTCCCTCATGACAATGTCCTTCCCTCTTCTTGGGATCTAAACATGGCATCATAAAACTCAGCTCCTTCACAAAAGAAATACAGTAATCAAACATCTCATGTGTAGTAACAGAAGGTCAGCTCTGTTTCTGCTCTTCTGTGGTGTCCTGAGGCGGTGAAATTGTCCTGGCTTTATTCTTGCGTGACGCTCTTCTTCCCTCTGCTGGTGAAGTCTGGGGTTGCGAGTCTGTGATATATGTCAATAGTACATCTACAGGTGCATCTCAATAAATTAGAATGTCATGGAAAAGTTAATTTCAGTAATTCAATTTGAGTTGAATTACTGAAATAAATTAACTTTTCCACGACATTCTAATTTATTGAGATGCACCTGTACACTCTGCTTCATGACAGTGTCTAAAACATTTTGTTCCTCTTGTGAAAAACGTCCCAAAACATAACGGTCGACAGGCGTTTTACCCAATGGTCGCCCAATACCAACACACAGCCGTGACATCACCTGCGGGAACATTCAACATGTGTTGTTAAAATGAATTTCTACAACAAACCACTACAGCTGATGTAGTGATGCTCTATAAGATATTTGCTAACTTACATCAGTGTGAAGGCAGTCTACACATGATCTTACGCCATTGTGACCCCTGAGATGAAGAAAATATGGATCAATCACCAATTAACTCAACATACATATTAAGAGAAAAGAAAAGTTATCAATACAAAAATCTGATGAAAAGTTTGCACTCACCTTGCACTTCCACCATGTTTAATGCCGAACTTCCCAAGTGGTTTGTCAAGCTCATCGTGAATCAAGAGAATATGTTCGGGTGAAATTAAATATTTGCTAGCTGGAAAAAAAAAATTCAAATAAAGAAGAAATAAATTCAGATATCCGAGGATTAAAATGAGGCGGGTGGAAAAGTAATAGTGTTATTATAACACGATACAATGCGTCTCACCTGCTTTTGCCACACTCACGCCATTGACATTCATGAGTAACTTGGGTCGAAGAAGAACCAACTGGATATCTTGAAGATGTGTTACAGTGACCTCCCCTGATACCTGTCGGTCAGATCTCCAGCTATCCGGTGCTCCCAAACGTTCAGCTAACATTGTGAGCACAGCCATACCAACACTATGCCGAGAGCCATTCATGCCAGGGTTTCCCAGCCCGACAACCTGAAACAACAGCAATACACAATGAGACTCAGTCATATACACGCTTAATACACGCAGATATGTTCACTGAATATAAACCTAACAGACCACTCAGATCATTAGGATCGAGTCAGTTAGAAATACCAAGAGTTCACAAAAAACAAGGGGAGTCCGCTTTTAGTTATTATGCCGCCCGCAGTTGGAATCAGCTTCCAGAAGAGATCAGATGTGCTAAAACATTAGTCACATTTAAATCTAGACTCAAAACTCATCTGTTTAGCTGTGCATTTATTAAATGAGCACTGTGCAATGTCCGAACTGATTGCTCTATATTTTATGTATAATCATTTTCTATTCTTAACTGTTTTAAATTCATTTTAAACCTCTTAAATCAATTTTTAAATAATTTTCAAAGTTTTTAAATTCCTTGTTTTATTGTGATTATTTTTTAAAATGATTATTTTCTTTTTTTTTTATGTAAAGCACTTTGAATTACCAATTTCAATTTAAATTATTTTTTAATTCATGCTTCAAATATTTAATTCAAAATAATGCTTTTATTTGTGTGATTATTTTATGATTATCCTTTTATGTAAAGCACTTTGAATTACAATTGTGTATGAAATGTGCTATATAAATAAACTTGCCTTGCCTTAATATGCACTAGCACCAATTGTAACTGCTGTTAGTAACCTTTTTTCATTAGTTAAATCCTTTTTACTTTTCATATATAATGCCTTGCCAGAATGGCCACTTTATATAGTGGGTATAGAAAAGAATCACACCCATTTAAAATAAATCACACTTTGTTGCTTTGCAGACTTGAATGAAGATGGACACAGTTTTTGTTTTATCCAGCTGTATTTACTCCGTGCAACTCATGCCAGAAAAAAAAAAACAGAATCAATGAGTTGGAAAAGGGATCACCCTCTTGTGTCAGTATTTTGTTGAACCACTTTTTGCTTTAATTACAGTCTTTAGTCTGTTGGGATATGTCTCTGTCTCTACTAACTTTGCACATCTAGACTTTGCCATATTTGCCCACTCTTCTTTGCAGAACTGCTCGAGTTCAGTTCAATTGTATGGTGACCGTTTTGTAGACTGCAGTCTTCAAGTCATTCCACAGATTTTCAATGGGGTTTAAGTCTGGGCTCTGACTAGGTCATGCAGGACATTCACCTTTTTCTCCTTCAACCACTGTGTGCTCAGTTTTGCTGTGTGCTTTGGGTCATTGTCATGTTGGAAGGTAAACCTTCTTCCCATTGACAACTTTCTGGCAGAGGGCA